AAGTTGCTTACCTCTGTTAAATCGCTGCCTATAATCTCATCCTGTTGCTCACCATGTGTTTTGCTTTGTGCATAGCCGCTGCTGCTGCTGCTGTTGGTACTTTCTGTATTGCCCAATACCAGTACGCTCATCTCTTCATTCATTGCCTTGCGGAAGGTCTCCTGTAGCTTGCCATCAGCATTGGTGGCTTTGCCATCCAGCATTTCAAAGTCTGCCTGCCGGGGTATCATTAAGGCCAGGGCTCCACCACTTTCATCAAGTACCTCCTGCAGTTCTATTTTGGTCTTGTTATCGTGCGCATCGTATTTAATTACGCGCACGGGCATGCCAAATATTTCTATGTACTGGCCCCAATCTGCTACCGCTCCACGCTTGTATATGGCGTATGGTGCACACTTAAGCAGTAACCCCAAATCATTTTTGCAACCAAAAACAATGATGTTGCTTATCTTCTTATACTCATACCCTGTTTGGCCGCTTTGCTCTTCAGTAATGAGGCCCAGTTCTACTTTAATGTGTTTGCGGGGTATCTCATCAAAATGAAGCTTATCTCCTGGAATGAACTCCATGCCGCCCAGACCGTAGAACTTTGCTTCCAGCTTCTTTTTAATAATATCGCGAAAGACATCGCTTTGAATGGTATCATCCAGCTCATCTACCTTTTTACCGTTTACCGTGTAGATAAGCGACTTGTTTAAAACGCTGCTGTAGCGCTTTTCCATGATGCCGGTAAGGTGGCCATCAAGGGTAACATCCTCATATAAATCAAGCAACCTGGTTCGGTTGGCATAGGTTACACTTTCCGCATTGCGGTGGGCGCTGCGCCAGTCATCAATGTCTTTCTGGCTGCGGTCTGTAGCTATTATTTTAATCTGGTTAACTACAATGCCTTCTGGCGGTACCGGCTGGTCTTTAGTAACTACGGGAGGTGTTTTTGTGGACATACGGGGTTAATTAAAATTACCAATGGTTGCCTCTGCGGCGGTTGCTGCTGCTGGTTACGCCACCTGGCAGAAAAACGGATTCTTCTGCCGGTCTTAGCGGCCATTCAGTGCTGTCTGCCATGCCTTTTTGCACGTCTTTAAAAAATGCAATAGCATCTTCATAAGCGGTGCGGAACAGGGTTAAATCTATGTTTGGGTTGCACAGCTTAATTAGGTGCCATGCTGCCAGGTCTTTTACTTTGTTTTCAAGGTTTTCATCGTCTACAAGTGCATCCTCGTCCTCGGTGCCAAATAGTTTTGGCAAATCATACTTGCCCAGGTACATTTTAGCCTCTGAAATACCGGCTTTGATTGCCTTTAAAACAAGGTCTTCGTTGCCGCGTGTAATTTCCTGCATATTTTCTTCGTATATGTGGGTCTGCATATCACCCACAGAAATAAGTAGTGCCATATTAAAAACGTTTTTTATTGGTGGGCCTTCTCATAATCTGTATGCCGCCAGCTGCTGCTACCATTGTCTTTTTGTCAATAATAACCACAGCCCCCTGTACCGCATCTGGCCCGTCCAGCGTTTTGCTGGTAGGCTTGGCACTGGTAAATTGTTTCTCCAGGCGTTTCATGTGCGGATTTTCCTTTTCGTCTATATTGAAAATGAGCCTGCCCATACGGTTAATTGGTTCCAGCGTTCCCTCAATGCGTGTCCACTTTTCTGGTTTCTTTTCCTCATCTGGTGTAATTGACAATACGCCACCGGCATGCAGTTTGCCATTGGCGCTTATAAGCGGTAAAAACACCTGTTTGTAAAAGGGGTCTTGCAGCGTGTTGTTTTCAATAAAAGAGTAAAGCAGCGCCCTGCCCGCTACATAAGCCCTGGTGGCATACAGCCAGTCTATAAAATTGCTGTTGGAAGTGTTATCCACAAAGCATTTATAAACGTAATAGGTAGAATCATGGTAGCCTAACAGAACCACTGCTTTACAAGAGTTGTTGGCCTTGCTTTTTATAGAAGGCTTATCATTATTTGAGGTTGCCGGGTCTGCATAGGCAACAACAAAAGGAAGTGTTTTAATTGGTGGGCATTTGCCCCATGTAATGGCAGGAAAGGTTTTGCCGCTGTTAATGGGATTGTTCATGTACTCACCTTCAAAAGCCTCATAGCTCATGTGCTCTTTCATGTAAGTAATGTCTGCCATGCTGTTCTTTTCTGGCCAGGTACTCTCACCATTGGCATCTGTAAGGTTTACAATTTCATCATCATCTGCCATTGCGCCAGCTCTTACGGCTATGCTGTCTTCTGCAATAATGTTGTTGTCAAAAATTATAAAATACGGGCGGCTAATGTCTACCGTAGGTATTACGTTCTTCTCTACCCAGCTCCAACGCTCATCCAGGCGCTCCAGGTTGCGGCATACCTCATCATCATCCACATCATCAAACAAGGCCACATTAATACGCAGCTCCTCGTTTTTGGCACCGCGTGGGCTTTGGCCTGCACCTACAGCACGGAAAGTGCTGCCGCCCCTGGTGGTGAATTCTCCCTGCGTCCAGCTGCCAGCCTTTTCCTGTATTCCATAGTCGTTTATAAGCCTATTATTGCCCTGTAGGTTGGCCATGTAAGGGGCCAGCAAGCGCATGGCATTTTCTTCGCTCTTGCTTATCAGCAGCATATTCATACGGAAGCCCTGCGCCAACATCTTATACAGCAGTTCCATCATGCGCCGCGTACTCTTACTTAGGCCCCTGGCCCAGGCCCGGCGTATGTATGCTTTTATGAATTTTAAAAAGCGTTTGGTGCTTTCAATGTGAAACTTTGCCGGTTTGGCAAAGCAGTACTTTGGGAAGTAGTATGCAAACCACTCCTCCGGGTGGGCTTCAAGCCACTTAATTCTTTTGGCTTTTTCCTCTTCAGTTTCGGTAAGGTCTACAGAGGTGCTGCTCTTAATGCTTTGCAATAAGTCGTCCCAATCTGCCAGGGCCTGCCGGTCTGTTTTATTTTTCCAGAATACTAGTTTGCTCATTTCTTAATTGCATCGTGTAAAAAGGAATTCCACATTTCCGCTATTTCCATCAGTTGTGGCAGAGGTATTTTCTTTTGCTGGCAGAATCGTAAAAACCGGCTACCGCTTTCTACCAGGTCTGCAATGGCCAGTTCTGTCTCCATGGCACGGATAGAGGCCGTCAGTTTTACCTTAATATCAGCCTCTTTACTGTTGCTGAACCGCTTGCCCTTTTCACGCTGTTTTATTACGGCGCTTAATTCTTCCATCTCCTCATAGAGGTCGCTCAGTATTTGCTCCTTACTTACCAGCAGCCTGTTCCGCAGTTCCTTCCACCCAAACTTATTAACCCAGCTGCTAATGGTGTTTTCACTAACGCCAACGCGTTTGGCAACTACGTTAGCATCTAACTGCTCACGTGTGTACAGGATTTTAGCCAGGTACTGTTTGTCTGCCATTTTAGTTTGTGCTGCTGCCATATTAAACACAAATATCAGCTACCGCTATGCTGTAAGCGAACATGAAAAGTATGATACCGCAGAATAAAAAGTATGGTGCCGCAATATTATAAATACCATAGAATCCTTATTTGGCGGGGCTTTCAAAGGTTTTCATTTTTACACCCTCAAAGCGAAAAAACAGGAATGGACAAGTTCAAAAAAATAGATAAGGAGTTTTTGCTTACGGACAGTTCATTGAACAGTTACAGTTACCGCTTACTCTCATCGGGCTACCTGATGAGTGAGTTTAAGAAAAATCCCATTGGCTACTACATGCATGGAAAAGAGGGAAGTGAGTTTCCCCGTGAAATGGGTGTATTGGTAAAATGGGATGACCTGCGTGCAGATGGCGACAAAGTGTTTGGAAAGCCCTGCATCAATTTAAGCCACCCACGCGGACAGCGTACAGTGGATGAAATTGAAAGCGGTTTCTTAAACGGTGCATCTGTTGGCCACATTGTAGCCATAGAAGTAAGCAGCGAGCTTACTGATTACCTGGAAGGCCAAACAGGCCCCACAGTTAAGAAATGGTACAACCGTGAGTGCAGCCTGGTAGACATACCCGGTAACTACAATGCTCTTAAGGATTTATTTGATGAACAGGACAACCCCATTAACCTGGCTGATTTTACACCCCAAAAATTAAAAATGAAACAAATCTTTTTTACCCCCGCGCAATTAACGCTGATGAACTTGAAAGCAGATGCTGATGAGGCTACTGTTACCACGGCATTTGCCAACCTGGTTGCAAAAGCTGGCAAAGCAGACCAGTTGCAGACTGAGCTTACCACTGCCACCAATGAGAAAAACACAGCCGTTAAAGACCTGGCTGATTTTAAAACAGCTGCTGCGCAAACAGAGGTAAAAGATTTGTGCGCTGCCGCCTGCAACGTAGACAAGAAAATTACCAAGGAAGTAGCCCTCCAGCTGGAGAAAGACTACTCCGGTAACCCTGCCGGTCTTAAAAGCCTGCTGGCTGCTATACCCGCACCCGCAGGAGTGGTGAAGTCTATTACAGGCGCTGGCGGTGCCGCTAAAGACCTGGCTGCAATGACCTATGACGAACTGGATAAAGCCGGTAAGCTGGAAGACCTGAAAGCCCAGGATTTGGGATTGTTTAACCAGAAGGGCCGCGAAGCGTTCGGCAGTACCTGGAGAGATAAGCAGTAATGCTATCCAACACTGAATACTGCAAATAGCACGATCCATATTTTTTAAAATAAGAACCGCAATTACATGAAAAAAGTAAAACTTTCCGGCCTACTGTACAACGCCCTGGTGGCGGTAGTACTTTTCACCATTTTTAATTTTAACCCCATTGTAACTTTTGTTGCGCTGTGTGCGCTCTCTTTTGTGCCAATGACAAAAGGCGTGGCTTTTATGGCCTTGCAAAAAGAGATTTGGGAGAAGGACATCATTGGTAATCTATATAAGAATAACCAGTTTGCCCTGCGCGCATTTAATGCTGACACGTTTGTACTTTCCGGCAAAGTTGTGCATATACCTGTTGCTGGTGCAGCTACTGTGGTTAAGAAGAACCTTAACGTTTTTCCGCAAGTAGCTGTAAACAGAACGGATAGCGAGCTTACCTACGCTATAGACACTTACTACGCATTGCCCAGGCAGATACAGGACATTGAAAGTTATGAGCTGAGCTATGATAAGCGCCAGAGCGTGGTGGGTGAAGATATGCAGGCACTGATACAGCAGGCGATGAACGGATTGCTCTACCGCTGGGCACCCAAAAGCGCCACTAACGTAGGTATGGCAGCAAACATCATCTTAACCGATGGCCCCGCCACTGCTGAAGACCTGATTGATGATACTGCCGCTGGTGCCAGGTCTACGTTTACAAAAAATGCCTTCAAAAAAGTTGCTAAAAAGTACGCCAATACAGATAACCCTGGCCGTATTACTGGTTTGCTTACCGCAAACCACTACCACCAGTTTTTTGAATCGCTCAGTGATGCAGAGAAAACAAACTTTAACAATGTGGCCGACCTTAAAAACGGCATCATTGGAAGGTATATGGGTATTGATATTCTTACCCGGAGCTCTGTACTGCGTTACCGTGGCGCAGACCTGGCCAATTTGCAGGTAGTAGATGAGCAGGCAGATGCGTTTGCACCTTCAGCAGATGACCGCGCAGCCTCTCTATTCTACAGTGATAACGCTGTAGAGCGTGCAAAAGGAGATGTGAATGTATTTGATAACCCAGGACAGGCACTGTACTACGGTGATGTGTTCTCTGCCTACATACGCCTTGGTGGCCGTATACGCCGCGCCAACAGTGTATATGCAGTGGTGGAAGACCTGGCCGCTTAACCTTAACAATTTCCCCGATTGTGATACCCCCGGAGACCGGTAGTGAATGGCCGGTCTCTTTTTCAAATTCATTTTAAACGCTTAAAAATAAAAACGTGAAAAAAATCCTTTTTTTAGCTGGCTTCTCTATCATGCTGGCTACAGTAGTTACAGCGCAAAGCACCCGCAAAGTTACCCAGGCAGATACCAGTATTAACGCAACAGGCAGTACCATTTCTTTTACCAATATGGCCAGCAAGCTGATGAGCATTCAGGCCAGCGTTGTGAAGATAAGCGGTACCCTGGCAGGAGAGGTTTACCTGGATGGCACCATTGATGGCAACTGGATTGCCCAGGACAGCCTGGTACTGGCAGATGCAGCTGTAGCAACAAAGCTCTTCCCCATAACCCGTACTAACTTTTTGAACTACCGCATACGCTATGTACCAACCGGCACACAAACCAGCAGAGTAACAGCAACCTACCTGCGAAGGACGGATGAGTAAGCAATACATAAAATTTAGCACATAGTATTTAGGCAATAGACAAACGCATATTATGACACTTGCACAGCGCAGCTTAGAAATAGCCTTAACACAGGATGGAGTTAGCGAAGAGCCCAAGGGAAGCAATGGAGGCCCACAGGTTACCGCTTACTTAAACAGTGTAGGCCTGGGCGCAGGTAATGCATGGTGTATGGCGTTTGTTTATTGGTGTGTTAGGCAAGCCTGTAAAGAAATCGGTATTGCAGCCAATCCGCTTATTAAAACAGGAGGCGTGATGTTTCAATACAACAATGTTACAGCCTGCAGAAAAATACCCAGCCGTAGCGGCGCAGTAAAGCCAGGAGACATTTTTATAATGAAGTTCAAAAAAGGCACTGGCCACACCGGCTTTATTACAAAAGTAGAGAACGGTTTTTTCCACACAATTGAAGGCAATACCAACGATGATGGAAGCCGCGAGGGATATGAAGTGGCGAGGCGTACACGTACACATGCAGAGCTGTACGGCATTATTCAACTACCATAAACCATTTTTATGCAAACCAAAGTCGACGAATTCTTTTCAAGCCACCCCGATGCTACAGAAGTACATGCAGCCCTGGGTGTGCTGTTTACAGATAAAGAGAAAGCCACCGCTTATTTGGGCGGCATAGTAGGCAAAGATGTTGAAACCTATACCAGGGAAACACCGGCACAAGTTGGCCAGCCTGGTGGCGAAAAAGTAGAAAACTCCCTTTCTGAAGATACAACGGGAATAGGTGATGGCACAACTGCAGGCGCTGTTGATGAAACAAAAGCAATTAGCCAGGCACCGCCACCCGAACCGCTTACACCTGAACAGCTGGAAACTGCAAACAAACAAATGCTGGCTGGCAAAACTGCCACAGGCAAGGCTGCAAGGCCAGTAGCTAAACCAGCTGCAAAGGTTAAAAGCAAGACCTCATAAAAACCCCACAGCAAGCAGAGACACTACGGGGGCAGTTCATGTAGCGCTGCCCCCAATTAAAAAAGCAATCTTATGTATTTACCCCGCGTATCGATAATCTACAGCAACGGTAACCTATTAAAAGACATTGATGCCATTGATGGCATTGCTGGCATTGGAGAGACGGTGCAAACCGTTGGCTTTATCGGCAAGTGCTTCCAGGTATTTAACCTGCTTGATGCAGAAACGCAGGGCATTACAGAAGTAGAGGAGCCATTTATGCACCGGCGCGTAAAGGGATTCTATGATGAGGTTGCCGGTAATCAGGAGTTATGGCTGATGGGCCTGGCTGAAACAATGACCATGGCCCAGGCGCTTGACAATAACGATGAAGAAGGTCTCAAAAAACTTGTCCGGGTAAGCAATGGCCGGGTGCGCAAGCTGGGTGTTTGCCGCCACCCGGATGCCGGGTACAATGCCGGTAACGCCTTTTTTGATGATGACGTTGAGCAGGCTGTTTTAAAAGCCAATACATTTTGCCAGGCACGCCTGGCAGAGCTGGTGCCCCTGCGCGTTCTTATTGAAGGCAGAGTGAACGATGAGGATAGCCTGGACATATTTGAACCCAAAACGGCCAATGTAGGCAGCGCTGGTGTTGTTCTTGGTAGCACCCTGAATGACGGAAGCGCTGCAGTAGAAACATTGCTCGGACGTGCTGTAAAATATGGTGCCCATATAAAGGTTGGCAAAGTAGCCAACGGCCCCCTCTCTATTAGCCAGGTATTCATTGGCACAAAGCTGCTAAAGGATGTTGCCAACCTGGATGCCCTGCACGGTAAAGGCATCATTTCATTTATGAACCACCCCAGCAAAGCCGGTTTTTATTTTGGCGTAGACCGTATGGCCAGCACAGACGATTATCGTTTGCTTGCCTTTGGCCTGGTGGTAGACAAAGCCGCTATTGTTGCCGCCCAGACTTATGTAGATGAGCTGGAAGGCGAAGCCGAGGTGGATGATAATGGTAACATCAGCGAGCTGGAGCTAAAACACCTGGAAGACAGGTTGCGTCAGCAGGTACTTGCTGTAATGCCTGGCCAGATAAGCGGCCTCATTATTTACATCAATCCTAACCAGGATATTATAAATACCAACCGGCTGCTCATTAAAGTACGTGTGCGCCCGCTGGGATACAAATCTTTTATAACCGTAGACCTCGGCCTTACTGCCGGAGCTGCATAATTACTAATCTATGCCTTTTAAAAGCGACGAATGCGCCTGGGCGCAGGTAAGTATGAAGATATTAACCCGCACCATTGTTGGTGTCCGTGGGTTTGAATTTGACATTGACCAGGATATTGAGCACCTGTTTGCGGCTGGCACCAAGCCAATAGATATACAGGAGGGCAACGAAAAACCCAGCGGCAGTGTGAAGCTGCTGAAGTTTGAGGTAGACCTTATGAACGATGCTGCCCAGGCTATTGGTTATGCCCATATTGGCCAGGTGCCCAAAGAAGCAATTCTTATTACCTGTGCCTTCAAAAAAACGGCTACCAGTAAGATGCGCACCATTACGGCAGTAGCCTGCAAATTTTCTAAGCAAACTTTTGCAATGGATCAGAACGCCAAGATGAGTGAGGTAACGATGCCATTCCTCTGCATGGATATACTGCTCACGTAAGCAGATTTTTCAACACGCCAAAAACCAAACCAATGATAATTACAGACGCCAACAAAAACAGCATGAAGGCCATAAGGGCCAAAGAGCGCGAAGAAAAAGAAAAGGCCCAGCGCGATGCGTGCGAAGTACTGGCCCTCGCCCGCTATGGAGAAGAGCACATAAAGCATTTGAGCAATAAAAATAAGGGGCTGTGGTACCTGCCGGTATACCAGCCGGAAAGTGATGAAATAGCCGCCATGGCAATTATGCGCCCTATAGACCGGCATGTACTGTCTTATGCCAGTACCAAGATTACAGATGAAGGTCTGTATGCATTCCTGGAGTCCTGTATGAACGAATGTTTCCTGGAAGGTGACCGCGCAATTATTGATGATGATGAGTTCTTTCTGCCAGCGTCATCTGCATTTAACAAAATACTCGAAGGCCGTAAGGCGGCTATGCTAAAGCGATAAAAGAAACATCGGATGCTGCTGATACCAGCAGCATCAGTTTTTTAGAGACACTCCTACAGTATTATTTACCGGGTCTTGATGTTTCTGCGCTCTCTGAAGAAGAATTTATACAAAAAGTAGCCTACCTGCTTTGCATCAGAAAAATGGAGCATAACCAGGAAGCGGCCAACCTGTTAAACTTGTTTAAACGTGAATAACAACGTACTTGAATTTTTTGTAAAAATGAAAGACATGATGAGCGGAGGCCTGGTAAAACTTGGCCAGAATGCTCAGCAGACTTTTACAAAAATGGGCAAGGCTATTAAAACTGCAGAACAGCACAGCCGTCAATTGGGACAGTCGTTTACTCAAACAAATCAAAAGCTTCCAGGAACGGTTAGTTATGTTGGGGCTTTAAAAAGAACATTAAAGGAAGCCGCTGACGAAGCGAAGCGCCTGGCAAAGGAAATGGGCGCTTTAGGCGGTGGTGGTGGCCGTGGTGCGGCTGGCGCTGGAGACATAGCCAGCGCCAAAAGAGGCGGCGGTTTGGGTGGACTGGTTAGAATGGCTATGCCATATATCAGCGCTGCTGCTATAGCTTCTTTTGGAATGAGCAGCGTAAAAGCAGCCAACCAGTTTGATGCGCAAAAGACATCATACGGTGTATTGGCGGGCAATAAGGGTATTGGTAATGCAATAGCGGACGATCTGCGTGGGTTGAAAGAAAATACCATTATGGGGCCAGCCGTATACAAAAACGCCCAAATGATGCTTGGTTTTGGTATAGCGGCCAAAGACATTAATCACGATTTAAGAATGCTGGGTGATATATCTATGGGTGATGCCAACCGGTTGCAGCATCTTACCCTGGCCTTTTCTGAAGTACAAGCTGCAGGTAAATTAACCGGTAAAGAGGTCCGGCAATTTGTGAATGCCGGTTTCAATCCACTTATGGAAATAAGCAAGATGACCGGAAAGAGCATGGCCGAAGTGCGTCATCAAATGCATGAGGGTAAAATAACAGCCCAGCAGCTTACCCAGGCGTTTGAATCTGCTACTGGTGAAGGCGGTCGCTTTCACGGCATGCTGGAAAAAATGGCCAATACTGCACTGGGTAAAGGCCAGATGCTGGAAGGGCGCTTTGCTAGTCTAAAAATTGCTCTTGGAGAAAGATTGCAGCCTGCATTTATACAATCTACAGACTCACTTATTAAATGGGTTACCTGGGCAAAACACCTGGTTGAAATTCCAGTGGAGCAAAAACTGCAGGAAGAAATAAATAAAATAAAGTCGCTGCAAGCTGAACTTGTTTCATCCAATACGAACCATGCCAGGCAGGTTGAAATATTAAAGGAACTGGAGCAAATTAACCCAAACATAGTTAAGGGCATTAATGAACAATCTATAAGCTACGCAGACCTGGCCCGTAATGTTGATAAGGTTACCCAAAGCCTGGGCGCTAAAATATTTGCTGAGCGGTTCACAAAAGACAATGCTGATGTACTGGAAAAATATAACAGTGCAAAAGAGCAGCAGGCCAGTGCCATGGGTAAGGTAATGAGCGCTGTGGGCCAGGCCTTTCCAGGCATTGCCCAGGACGATAAACTTACGCTTGGACAAAAGCAGGCTTTGACAAAGCAGCGCCTGATGCAAATGGTGGATAAGACTGGTGATATGTCTATGCAGCCTGGATTATTTGGTAGCCATATAGAAAAAGCAACACCCTGGTTGACCAACCCCAAAACAGGGGTTAAGTACCGCGTGAACGATAAAAGTGATGCAAACCGATTGCTGATTGAGTTGCAGCAGGGAATATTTGCTGCGAACCAGTCCGCTGATGTTATTAACAGTACGTCTGGGCAGGTAGCGGTTATTAATAAAACAAAGGAGGCGCTGCTAAAGCAGTTTGGTATAAGCAGCGGTGTTGAGAGTATGGCCAATGCTGCCGCTATAAAAACAAAGAACGGCAAAGAAAGCAATGCCAATGCAGCTGAAGCTGGCAACAGTGTATCAGGCGGCATTACAGGTGGTGGCCCACGTGTAATAAACATTCATGGGGTAAAGTTTGCGGACAAGGTTGAACTGCATGCCAGCACTGTAGACGGTGTTTTGCACGATGGCGAAAAGAAACTATCAGAAATGTTTTTAAGGGTTTTAAACAGCGGTGCATCCGTTCAATAATATGGCAGGACCAGGAGTGATAATAGATTTAGTGAAGCTCTTTCAGGGAACGTTTGGTTCTACGCCATACGTAATACCTGGCGTAAGTGACCCAGAGCCGATGCCTGAAGGCTTCAAAATAAGCGAACAATACCAGGACTACCGGCAGCTGGTAACCCCTACTGGTTCACTTATACAGGAAAAGGTAAAAGGCGTTGATATATGGCTTCCGGTAAAGTTCTTTGACCAGGATACACTGTTAATGAGCATGCCATATAGCGTTGTTAGGCTTACTCCTAAAAAAACCATCATCAGAACGCCTATGATGGAGCGCAATGGTACCGTGAAAGAGCAGTACAATATTGATGATTATGTGATTACAATTAAGGGGTTTCTCATTGGCAGTAATGGCCAGTTTCCGGAGGCTGAATTGATAGAGTTAAAGCAGTTGTGGGAGATAAAAAATGCTGTTAGTATCGAAAATGCCATTACCAATATTTATTTAAGCAATCCCGCATTACCAAGATTTGAACAACGCCGTGTGGTAATAACAGATTTGGATTTTCCGGAGGTGCAGGGCGGGCGCAAGCATGTGCGGCCCTTCAGCATGCAATTAGAAAGCGATACGGTGTTTACTCTTGAACTGGATGCGTAGATGTTTATAATGACTGCCAATATAAAGATTGGGCCTTACAAGCCTTTTAAGCCCAACGCCATAAAATGGAAGCGGAGTATTGACAGTTACAGCGACAGCTCTTTGATAAAAGTGCCATCAGTGGCTATGCTAAAAAGTGGTGGAGATGTCTACACCAGGGTTGAAAGCGGATTGCAGTTTAAAGAAGGCATGAAGGTAGAAGTTGCCTGCGGTTACAACGGCAATAACCTGGTGCGCTTTAAAGGCTTTGTACGCCGCATTAATTACACGCTACCGTGCGAGATAGAATGCGAAGGGTACAGCTACCAGCTTAGACTAAAGCAGAATATAAACAAGGTATACCCCAAAGGCACCAAAATGAAAACTGTGTTGGTAGACCTGGTTGAGGGAACTGATATTAAGCTTAGCAGCCGCATACCAGATGTTACTGTAGCAAGCGCCATTGTATTTAAACGGGCAACCGGCGTGCAGGTACTTGACTGGTTTAAAGACAAGATGCTGCAAACTGTTTATTTCAACTACGATGAACTGTACGTGGGTCTGAAGGAAACTGAACTGAAAGGCACTGTGCGCCACCGGCTGGGCTGGAACGTGATAAAAGACAATGATCTAAAGTTTAACGACCATAAGGAGCATGCTGAAGTAAAGATACAGCTGCAGAGCAGAGGTGTAGACGGCGGGTTTGTTAAGGAGGTGTACGATACAAAATACACCAATACAAAGGTGAAACGTGTGCAGGTTCGGTTTGATGCTGCATATATGGCCCAGATGGCAAAAGATTATAAAGCCAGTTTGCTGGGTTGGGGGTACGAGGGAATGATTACAACTTTTGCCGTGCCATACGTTGAACCTGGTATGGTTGATTCTATTGAAGACCCAAGGTACCAGGAGCGAAACGGCAGGTATTTTATTGAAAGTGTGGAGGGAAGTATGGATACAGCTGGCGGAAGGCAAAAAATTAAAATTGGCAATAGTTTATAATGGAACTGCAAGCACAAATACTCGCTGCACTTAAAGAGCTGGCTGCGCAGTTTGGCCCCGCGCCAACAATGCTGGGCACTGTTGTGAGTGTTGACGAGGACGAGAAAACCTGTGTGCTGCATGTAGATGAGTTGGATATACCGGATATAAGGCTTACACCGGTAATAAATGGCACTGAAGGGTTAACCATTTTCCCCAAGGCTGGCACCTGGGCATTGGCCCTGCGGATTGAAGATACTGACGAGTGGATGATTATTGCTGCAGCGGAAGTAAAGAAATACAGGCTGGTGGTTGCAGATATGGTTTTTGAAGTAGGTGATAATAAAATTAGCCTTAAAAAAGGTGAAGACAGCCTGAAAGATGTGATTAAGCTGATAATTGAAGCCGTACAGCCCATTGTAGTTATCTACGGCAACAATCCTAATTACGATAAGCTTACACAGGCGCTGTTAAAACTGAATAACATTTTTCAATAATGGCACTTAATAAAGATACCCTGGGCGTGGCGCTGCATACAGCCCGGAGCGCTTTTAATGATAAAACAATGGATGAGCTGATTGCCATCTATGGAGACCTGAACGGAGTGCGCCTTGCAATGGCCAAAGCGGATGCAGAGCAGATTATTAACCATATAAAGGGTTTTGGACAAGTAAATACTATAGGTACTTCAACTGCACAAAGCGGAACAATGATATGATTGACTTGCTGCACGATATAAACGGGGAACTGATTTTGGCCGGCGAAGACCTGGCCACCGGTGTAAGTGATTTGCAGCATCAGCAGGATTTGCTGTTGGCAGATAAAGGAAGCATACCGCAATACCTTGAAGCTGGCGTAGGTGCAGCCACCTGGTTAGAAAATGAAGATTCAGCCGGTCTGTTACGCGAAACAGGATTGCAGTTTACAGCGGACGGCATGGAGGTAAAAGAACTTAGCTACGCTGGAGATGGCAATATGAATGTGAATGCCAAATACAAATGAAGAGTGTAAAAATATTATACGGGCAAACACTGGTAGACATAGCGGCGCAGGAGCTGGGCGATGCTGGCCGTGCTTATGAGGTGGCAACGCTGAACGGGCTAAGTATAACGGATGATTTGGTAGCTGGCGGCATTATTAACGTGCCAGAATTTGATAAAAGCCAGCGCCACCTGGTACAGTTGTTCAGCAATGTGGCAAATGCACCCGCCAGCGGAGACAATGTAAATACCGGTGCTGTGGTTGATGTGGGAATTGGTTTCTGGTCTTTGGAAGTTGATTTTGTAGTAAGCTAACTATGGCACAAACAATAAATGAAATTTTTGACAGCATGAAAGCCCAGGGCATTACCCTGGCTACAGATGCCAATCGGCCAGATTGGGTTACAATGTTTAACTCAACCAGCAGGGTGGCCACCTGGAAGATCATCTTCTATGCTTGTGCTTTTTGCATCAATATGGCGCAGCAGCTCTTTGACCTGTTCAGGATAGAAACCGATGATAAAATTAGCAGGCTAAAACCCCACAGCGCCCGGTGGTTTGCTGAAAAAGCAAAGGCTTTTCAATATGGCTTTAACCTGGTTGCAGAAGCCGACTATTACAATAATACCGGCTTAACCGAGGCCCAGATTATTGCAAGCCAGGTGGTGGCCTACGCTGCCGTTGTAGAACAGCAGCGGGGCATACGAATAAAAGTGGCCAGGCTGGTGAATAATGAGCTTGCAGCCCTTACAGTGCCGCAGCTGGATGCCTTTACGGCGTACATGGAGCAAATAAAACCAGCTGGTATAAAGCTGCTGATTACTACCGGACCGGCGGATGACCTAAAAAGTAAACTGCGCGTGTATTACAACCCGCTGGTATTGTTGGCCACCGGTGGCCGCATTGATGGTACAGATAGTGAGCCAGTGCAGAATGCGCTTAAAACCTACCTCAAAAATCTTCCATTCAACGGACTATTTGTGCCAATGCTGGCTGTAGATGCTATGCAGAAAGTTGATGGCGTAGAAATTATAAAAGACGAATACTGGCAAGCTAGGTACGGCGCATTGCCCTACAATGGCATTGACTATGAGTATAACCCGGATGCAGGATTTCTGCGGGTGATTGTTAATGGGCTGGATATTGAATTTATACCGCATGCTGCAATATGATGTTTTATACCAGGTGCTGTTTAATAAGCTGGCCCGGCAGCTGATAAGAAAAGAGCTGCGGCGGGTAACTGTTCCGCTGCTGGTAAAGGCCATGATATTTCCACTGGTGTTGTTGTACAACCAGTTCTTAAGGTACCGAGATGCAAAAAATTACCAGCTTACCATTACCAGCCAGGTATGCTACCTGGAAAGGTTGCTGAATGACAGGTACGACTATACGCAGCGCAGGATTTACATAAATGATGCAGAGTGGCATTTACCCTGGTTTCTGTACCAGGAAGATGAATTAAAACCAGAATGGATTTTCCAGGATAGCGAAGACAAGCCGGTATGGTTATACACTGAAGGCGAAGCCGGTGAGGCAAAAGATGATTTTATTGTTTTTGTACCTAATGCCCTGGTCTTTAACGAAAACGAGATGCGCAGCCTGATTGATAATTACCGCCTGTTTGGCACCCACTATAAAATACAAAAGGTATAATGAACCAGAGAATAGACTTTACCCAGAATGGCGGCTTTCCTGCAACACAATACATGACCAAGTACATGCAGGATAGTTTTCGCAATTGCTTTATGGCGCTGGCCGGTCTTATAGGCGACAAGGTAATTGTGAGCGGTATGGATGTGGTAGGTGGCCAGATAACAAACGGCTGGATAAGCTATAATGGAGAGTTGATGCCGTTTTTGGGTGGCCCTACAGAGACTGAATTTATAATTGAGGAATTGCCTGAAAGCCGCCTGTTTAATGATAACACAACCAAAGATGTGTATTTCAAAAAACAAGCTCGATTTGGTTCTCCAGGTATAACGTTCGCCGATCTAAAAAGGGTGTCAACCATCATTGCCTTCTTTGAATCATTCAATACGCTGGTTCAAACCTTCGACGATTTTGTTACTGATACGAATTTGGCAATTACCGACCTCTACGCAAAAATAAAAATTGCCTATGTAAGCTTCATTGCAGTGGGCAATCCAGCCGCCAATCAACTTATAAATGTGGTACATAACCAGGACATAGCAGGCGGCAATTATCTGGTTTCCGGCTCTCTGGTAAGCCTGGGTGCAGATTACAACCAGGACAATGACACTGTATGGATGGTGCGTAATATTACCAAAGACAGCTTCCAGCTGGTGCTGGCAGAGTTTGCTGCTGAAAATCAAAATCTGCGTTTCGATTACGCTTTAATACTTAAATAATGGCAGGAAACAGAGATACCGTTAAGCCGTGGTTTTTAACGCGCAAAACACCTACACAGGAACAGTTTTTCAGCCTCTTTGATTTTCTTTTTTTTAAAGATGAGGACATAGCTGTAGCTAATGTAACCAACCTGCAGAACATATTAAATGGAAAAGCCAGCGCCGAAACAGTAACCAACCTGGCAGCTGCTGTTTTGCCAGAGCATTTAAACCCGGCACCCATCGCCAATTTCTCTTACACCTACCTGGCAGGTGTGCGTGGCGATGGACTGGTAATAATACCTACCGTGAATATGACGATACGCATAGGCCTCTCTGCCGGTGCAGAAGATATTGTGGCAGATGTAGACATAGCAGCTGGCGAAGAAAACCTGATAGATTTTAAAGTAAGCGCACTGTTGGCCAATAAAACCATTTACATAAACGGCATTACCGCTCTGGCGCAGGTATACATATACAAAAGGTAACTATGAAGAAAATATTATTCGTCGCACTACTGTTCTGCCTGTCGATGGCGAGCATGGCACAAACCAAAAGTATTACCACAGGTCAATTGCAGGTGCGCGACAGTATACTGCTAAATGGTGTGTGGGTAAAAGGGATTGCGACTGATGGAAGCATTGACAGTACTGCCAATAAGATTGCATCTGTTAAATGGGTTTTAGAATGGATTCTTACCCACGGCGGCAGTGGCGGTGGCAGCGGTGCCAATAATTTTTTGCAAGGCCATACATTTGATACACTTACTGGATTGTTCAGCTCAACCCGGAGTGGACTTTCTCCTGTATCGGTGAACATTGACGGCAGGTATGTTAAGCTTACCGGTAGTTATGCTAATCCCTCCTGGTTAACCAGCGTGGCATGGGGTAAGCTCACCGGCGTACCTTCTACGTTTGCACCATCAGCCCATACACATGCAGAAAGTGAAGTAACCAACCTAGTAAGCGATTTAGCAGGCAAGGCACCTACCTCACATAATCATACGCTGAGCCAGTTGTCACAGAGCGGAGCCACTACCAACCAGGTTGCACAATGGAACGGCAGCGCGTGGGTACCGGCAACCGTTTCAACCGGTGGTTATACGCCACCTGGTGACAATACTAAAATACTGGATGGCACCGGAGCTGCCATTACTCCTACAAAATCATTGGTTGGCCTTGGTAGTGTTGACAATACGCCTGATGCCAGCAAGCCGGTAAGCACTGCGCAGGCTGCTGCCATTGCTTTAAAATACGATGCCACCAACCCGGCAGGGTATGTTACCAGCGCTGGCGCTGCCTCTGCTGCGCCGGTTCAGAGTGTTGCCGGTAAGACCGGAACCGTATCACTTGTAAAGGGAGATGTTGGCCTTGGTAGTGTAGACAATACAGCTGATGCCAGCAAGCCAGTAAGCACTGCGCAGGCTGCTGCCATTGCTTTAAAATACGATGCCACCAACCCGGCAGGGTATGTTACCAGCGCTGGCGCTGCCTCTGCTGCGCCGGTTCAGAGTGTTGCCGGTAAGACCGGAACCGTATCACTTGTAAAGGGAGACGTTGGCCTTGGTAGTGTAGACAATACAGCTGATGCCAGCAAGCCAGTAAGCACTGCGCAGGCTGCTGCCATTGCTTTAAAATACGATGCCACCAACCCGGCAGGGTATGTTACCAGCGCTGGCGCTGCCTCTGCTGCGCCGGTTCAGAGTGTTGCCGGTAAGACCGGAACCGTATCACTTGTAAAGGGAGACGTTGGCCTTGGTAGTGTAGACAATACAGCTGATGCCAGCAAGCCGGTAAGTACCGCTCAGCAGGCGGCATTGAATATAAAATTAGACTCTATAAAGGCTATTAACGATTCTACATTCAGGCAATGGAAGAACGGCACCTATACAGATGTAGTAATTAAGGGCGGCAAAGTAAAGTTGCAGGTAGATTATACCAGGGGCTTAAGTACGATCGGAGATTCTATGCTTACCATGGATTTGAAGACTGTGGATGGCGTATCTCCATACGGCAATGGTAATATTGTTACCACCGGCAGAGGCAAGTGGTATACCGTGACTGAAGCGCCTACGGTTGTAATTGACCTGGACAGCGGCAAGCTTCAGAAGGTTTCTCTTACTGCCAACCGGCTTATATCTTTCACCCATGTTCACGAAGGCTCATACATTGAACTTTGGTTTTACCACTTAACTGCGGGTGCTAAGATTACCAATATGCCCGCAGATGAACCGTGGGACAGGCAATGGGCGACAGGATTGAATGAGCGGACGGTGTACAAGGGAACTTATGACAGCGCGGCTGGCGTGTGGAACTGGAGCGTTGATGTGCATCCTGTATCAACCTCTATGGTGATGGTGCAGCAGTCTGAACATGAGATGACTGCTTACCTGAAACTGACCCCTAATAAGTATGCGTATTTCACCGCAGGAAAGGCTTTAGGTATTACACACAAATGGTGGCATACTGACATCTATACAGATAGCCTTTCTGCCAATGGATACCGCGCAACAATAAAAAAATCAGCCGATACCCTGGCTATTGTTGGTGGCATGACATTTACCCCCGGATTAAGTGGCGCAATGTCAGTTAAGGAAATGAAGCAAATGACGCTTGATTTCATTAACCACCCGGCCATCTATAAAAATGGCGGTAAGCCGGTAATTGCTGTTTACAATTTTGACAGCTTGAAATTTGTGCAATGGGTAGATACAATGGCCGCTTATGGATATGCGTCCAATAGCTACCTGCGCATGGTATCTACATCTGCTTACCCGCAATATCAGTACTGGTTAACGCCTGCCAGATGGGTAAACAATGTTGGCGTTATAGAGGATAGTGCCAGCGCTGCCCAGGTTTACAATTTCAATCCCCTGGTTGACGGCTTGATGAATTTTAGCGGCGACAAAGCCACCAGCATAGATTCACTGGCAAAAAACAGGGTTATTCTTGAAAACTCCTGCATTACAAAGGCAAGTAACGCACGCGGAAAACTTTCTTATGCAGGGTACACAGTAATGTACCATAATGACGCTGTTCAGAACTGGGATATTGGATTACGCGGCGCTGATTCTGTTTTAATGGCATTGGTAAACATGCCGGTAAACAATCGGCCGACTTTTGTAGGCCCGTCCACTTCCAATGATATGAACGAGCTGACAAATGCAGGCGCTGCTTTCACGACTGTAACAAATGGAGTATTTTATCAACCCGATTTAAGTGCTCATTATTACGAGGCTACCGGCGCATTTCCTTCAATGGATAAAAGCGGTATTACAGAATTTTTCAGGCCGCACATGAATGCCTTAAAGAATGGAGCTACAACGCTCAGCTATCCGCAAAACAGAATTGTAGCTAAATACGGATTACACCCGCGTAATGCTACACCATCGAATGTTATACCGTCTGCCCTGGTACCATACCGTTATGCAGATAGTTTGATGATTACACAAACGAAGTGGAATGCTTCGCGCGCCGCCAATACACCGGCATGGGTGGCAGGAAATAAATGGGCACTATATGACCGCATTGAAATGGCCGTGTGGCTTACCGATTCGGCTTACCTGGTAATTAATGGCAATGTATCACCTACAAAGTACGGCCCTGGAAAAGGCTTCTATTCAATTGCAGCACCAACTACAGGACTTCCTATTATACCATCATTTGCCATACGTGTTGGCGGTACGGATATAGTAAGCGTTTCAGGCAGTCAGGCAATTACAACCTCTACATGGCCGGGACAGTATGACCAATCGGTACAGGTTCTTTATTTTTTCAATCCGCTTTACAAAAATGTATTTCAGAACTACAGCGCTCTGGATGATGTGAACGGATACATAAACAGTTTACAACTCAACTAAGATGAAAAAAATACTTTCCCTTTTACTTGTTCTTACCAGCCTGCTCGCTATTGGCCAGGGAGAAAAGCACGTATGGAATACCGGCAATACCGTTTATATGGATATGGACAGCGGAGTTGCTACCGGCGCGTTTCGTATGGCTGTAGCGCCTGTTATAAGCAGCGCGGTTTATGTGTTTGTGCCAGACCCGACAACTGGCTATACCAAAAGGGTTCTTGCTTCTTCATTAGTAGGCAGCGGCAGCGGCACCGTTAAAATATTACAGTACCTGGTAGCAGCAACTAAGGACAGCACATTTGCACATGACTCAATACGGGGAAGGCAGATTGATGTCTACAGAAGCGGAAAGCGGCTTTACCCTGGTGTGGATTATATATTCAATGATACGACTGTTACTTTCCGGCCATTCTGCCGGCAATATGAACCCATCAGGATAGAATATGGCAGCTTCAATGTAACAACCATTGTACCAGGCGGAGGCGGTGGCTACACTCCTCCAGCTGTGTTGCGTGACCTGGTTCTTGAAACACGAACCGCCGGATTGTCGGCATCTGGAACATCTCCACGTAACTATGATGGTGGCACAACCTGTGGCGGCTATCTAAACACTGGTGTATCAGACAGCATCTTGCCTGCCAGTTATAATGGCCGTATACAGTGGCAGACAATAGGCACCAATTCTAACAACTGTATTGTCGGCCTGAAAGCATCAGCTACAAACGAACCATACAGGACAGGGTCAGTAAATAATTTTGCTGTTGGAGCCATGAGGCTTGGTACTGAGCTGTATGTTCTGAATGGAATAGCTGATATTGTTGGTACAGGCATAAATGTAAGCGGAGATATTTATTTATCCATCAATAAGACAGGCACGGTCTACACGCTTGAAACCTCCACAACCGGCGTTGATGGTAGCTGGACAGTTAGATACACTTTCAGCTATACGGACAACGTGAATTTGCACGGCTGCGTAAGTATGCCATGTTACACACCTCTCTCCAATCTAAAATCATTCAATTTCCACTAAGATGAAAAGAATACTTGTTTTTGCGTTCGCTATAATTACGCTGTCTGCATCTGCCCAGGTGCAGGATTACTGGAAGCTCTATGAGTTTCCCAGCTGGGAGACAATCATGCTGCGCAACTTAAAAATAAGCAGCGTGGCTGATACAGTTCTTGTGCTGGATAGCGGCATAGTTAAGAAGGTGCATAAGTCTGCGCTTGGTTTTGGTTCAGCAACATGGGGAAGCATCGGGGGTACATTGAGTTCACAGACTGACCTGGTAAGCGCCTTGGCGGGTAAGGCTGCTACAACGCACACACATGCAGAGAGCGACATAACCGGCTTGGTGTCTGATTTGGCAGGTAAGGCAGCATCTACCCATAGCCATGCGCAATCCGATGTTACAGGTTTAGTTACTGCATTGTCAGGTAAGGCTGCAACATCGCATAGTCATGCACTGAGCGACTGGACGCAAAGTGGAGCAACTACTAACCAGGTGGCACAATGGAACGGAAGTGCCTGGGCACCTGCAACCCTTTCAGGCGGTTCAAACTGGACAATAAGCGGTGCGGATATTTATCGGAATAGTAAAGTTTCGATAAATAATGCCGCCATTGGTGATAGTGCATTTCACGTTACAGGTGGAGAGCATATAACTGGTAGTTTATTGGTTGACGGATGGATAAGGAATCCGAAATTTTGGATTGGTACACCGCAGCTTGGTACTATGTTCTATTGGAATGCAGATGGAAGCCTTTCACAGATAACCGGCACCAGCGGCCAGTATGTTCAATGGAGTGGTGGCGCGCCAATCTTTGCTACTGCGGATGCTTCTCCTGCAAGTAGCAGCATAAACGCGGTTCAATCTGGCGGCGTATTTACCGCCCTGGCTGGAAAGGCTGACAAGGTTATTACAACACAGGGAGATTTAGTTATTGGTAACGTCAGTGGTATAGGTGCAAGACTTCCTATTGGTAGCAATACTCAGGTATTAACCTCCAACGGTACTACCGCAAGCTGGCAGACACCATCGAGCGGCTTTGCCAACCCAATGACAACAGCTGGAGATGTTATATATGGCGGTTCCGGAGGAGCTGGTTTAAGGCTTCCGGCTGGCACATCTACACAGGTATTACACAGCGGTACAACGCCATCATGGGGCGCTGTTGGATTAACAACAGATGTATCTGGCATATTGCCAGTGGCCAATGGAGGCACCGGTACTGCATCACCTGGCATTGTACAGGGTACAGGTATCACGGTAACAGGTACATGGCCAAACCAAACGGTCAATACTTCTGCAATGGTTAGTCCTATGACTACGATTGGAGATTTAATACAGGGAACTACAGCAGGAGCGCCTGCCAGGCTGGCCAGCGTTGCTACAGGTAACGCTTTAATATCGGGCGGTGTTGGTACAGCATCCAGTTGGGGAAAGATTGGCCTTACAACCCATGTAAGCGGTACGCTGCCTGTGGCTAATGGAGGCACCGGTGCGACTGCTTCTACAGGTTCGGGTAACGTTGTACTTGCAACATCGCCATCACTGGCCGGTACGCCACTGGCAACAACCGCAACGGCAGGTACCAATACTACACAAATTGCGACTACGGAATTTGTAACAAACGCAACACCATTCAGGTACTCAGCTACAGCAGATGTAACTGTGGCAAATACTACAACTCTTACAACCCTGTTAAGTGCTACACAACGGGGTTCAAATATATTGGCTGCTAATAGCCTCATAGTTGGTAGCAGGGTGATAATGGAAGGTGAAGGTATTATAAGCACAGCGGCCAGCGGCACGGCGTTCGTGATGAACCTGAAAAATAGCAGCAGTTCTATTAACTGTTCGGGCATTCTTTCATTGAGCTTGACTAATTCGCCAGTAGAATTCAGGTATGTACTGACTGTGAGAAGTACTACAACAGTGGAGGTCAATGGCTGGCTTTCCGTGGGTGGTTCAAAGATATATGCCACTGGCACGGTGTCAGGAACATTTGCGACAGCAAGCGCCCAAACAATATCCGCAGATTGGCAATGGACTACAGCCAGCGCTTCTAATAGCATAACAATCCAGGGCGCAACCGTAACGGTATATTAATATGAAAAAGTTTCTTATCATCTTTTTGGGTTTTATGCCTTGGTTGGCCAGCGCCACCAGGTATACGCATCCTACGCACAGCGGAGCTATTGATATTACCCAGACCAACGGCGGTAATACCCTGGCCAGTGGTGATACATTGGCTGTTACTGGCACATTTAGTAGCACGGCTATTCACGGCATCACCGGCACAAGGATTTTTATTGATGCTTCCGGCGCAACGGTTACCAGCCCTTATCCAGCTTACCAGCAGGACGAGTGGTATGATTTGGATGGGGTGACTATTGCCGGTTTTTATTTTCACAACTGGTATGGCTTTACAAAAATGAACCGGTATGTACATGATTGCAAGCTGCTCAATATTCGTGTTGTGAATGATGCCGGAAGTCACCCGGAAGGCTATATAAATCAGCCGTGGATGCAGTGGGATAAAGCGGCCACTACAGATATGGTATTTGCTGGCGCTAAGAGCAAAACTTTTTATAATGATACAATACAGGGTTGCTACTTTGACGGCTTTGCAAATACGATCGTAATTCGTATCGGTAGCAACTGGAACGGTACTGACAATGAAATAAACCGCAGCATTGCGCTTGACTTCAGGTTTATTGGTGACACATTCAAAAATGTTATAAGAACAACAGGCGGCAGTGTTGGGGCCATCAGTGGCACCGGCTTTAAGTGTTATATGGATAAAATGGTTTTCCAGAATATTGACGGCGTAGGAAGCGCCAATGCCAGCCACAACGAAACAGTATTATGGTATGGAACAATCAGAATGCTTCGGTCTAGGCAATCGGGCTGCTACGCTGCCATGCTGCGCAATGTGGCGCTGGCCTGGACTGGTCTGCCAGGCTACAGGAACGGGGAGTTCAGCGCCTGGGCTGGCAATATAGTTGACCATCAGCTGAGCTACAGCGGCGCTGAGTTCACTACAAGCAATGCAGGCAACCGTAATACTGGCAATGGCTTCTACCCCTGCCAGGTCTATTCTGTTTACAACAGCACATTCAACACAGTGGCCAGAAGCTACAATAGCCCATATTATTACTACGGCTTTGCTGGTTGCGATGTGGTGAATGTTGATACCGTTACCGCCAACTATAATGCCGGTAGTAAGATAGAGCGGGATTATCTGGACTTCCGCGCTACATGGGACAGTGTAAACAGGAAGATGATTGTAGCTGTGATTGGCGGAGCGCCAACGGTTCTGACAACAACTGGCAACCGGATTTTTGAAACGCAAAGCAGCGCCGTCTTTTTGGATACAGCTGCATTTGTGCCAGGTTTCTCACTTAAGCTGGCAACGCCAGGTATTTACTACAGCTGGTTTGATACCGATATCTATGGCAACGTAATACCTGCTACTGGGCCATTGTTCGCCGGTGCCGTGCAGCCAAAAATATACTGGACAAGGAAGAGATACAGCCTTTTTTAATAGATAAAAACAAAAGAATGGAACACGGATTCACTAAAATGCTGCTTGCAATTAGTTGGTTTTTTAGCTTACTGAGTATCAACTACTCAATTATTCCAATTGCGCTCAGCTCCATTGCATCGCTGCTCGCTATTTACAAAACCTACAGAGACATCAAAAAAAAGTAATATGAAAAAATACCCAGATTTCTACAGTGTTGTTGTTGGCCATGGGCCGCTTGGTTTGTTCCTGGGCTTTGTATTTGTTGCTCTTATTTGTGCAGCCATTAGCGTGCTGATACAGGCAAGTAACAGAGATATTGCCAGCAGCAATACACCTGTGCGCTTTAGCTGGCGCTTTCTCTTACTAAACAACATGCTGCGTATAGCTGCAAACTTCATGGTATTGCCAATTGCAATAAGGCTATTCTATGAGTACGTGCCGATGCCTGGCATGCTTGTGCTGGCATGTGGTATTGGCTTTGGAGTAGACCGGCTGGCAATGCTGGCCCAGAAATTTGGGCTGCTTACGACTAACAAGCTCTCTGAAAAGATGGCAGAGAAAATTAATTCCACCGATTTAGAAGTAAAATCAAAACCATGAAAGAAATATTAATTATTGCAGCTGCCTGCGTATTGCTCAGCAGTTGTATGACAGCAGACAAAGCC